GCCGTGGTCGTTGCGACACACCTCCTGGGCCACAAGCGTGTAGTAGGGGTTGTAGACGCCTTCGGACCCGACGCAGTGCACCAACACGCGGACGATCTCGCGACGCTGCACCTCGTTGAGCTTGAGCATAAGCACCTGTTCCGCGGCGTTCTTGTAGTCATCCGCGGTGAGCAGGGTGACAAACACGGTGCGGCGGGCATCGGTGTTCATCCCCTGGACTCGGGCGAGGTCGAGCAGCTCGCTCTGCTCCGAGTCAATGGTGGCCTGGGTGGAGGAGGATTGGATAAAGTCAGAGCGAGCGCTCATGGGAAGCAGCTTGGTGAGCCCCTGTGCGTCGGTCTGGTCCGTCTGGCCCGTCCAGGCTGCACCCACGAGCCACCACTTGCCCTTCTTGTCCGCATCGCGCAAGTCCTTGAGTGAGATGCGCAGCGGCTCGTGGCTGCGCACGCTGCGCTTCTTGGCCATGCCGCCGAGGTACTTTTTCATGCGCGTCAGCAGCTGCCCCGCCGCACTGTTGGGATTCGCCGCCTCCGCGCTCGAACCCTTGGCTTTGGACTTTTGCAGCTCCACCATGCGCTCGAGCATGAACTTGGTGCGTGTTGAGAGTGCGGCTGGCGAGGCGGCGACGCGCGCCTGCGTGAGCGCAATGATCGCCTTGAGCGACGTAGAGTCGTCGTGCCTCAGCTGGTGGCCGCACGACCGCATCGTGCGCAGCAGCAGCTCGATGTCCACCTCGCCCACCCCACCCTCCGCCGTCGCGGGCGAACCCTCCGGCCGCTCGCCGAGGAACATGCGGATGAGGTCGTACACGAGCGGACACGCCACCACGTGCAGGTTGTAAAGCTCGCACGCAAGAACGCTCAGGTTGAGGCACTCTTTACCCTGAACATCCTCCTCCCCGCCTGCCGCTTGCGGCTGGTCGGAAGATCGCTTGAGCTCGTCGTAGTGCCGCGTGAGATCTTCGACGAGACGCTGGATGAAGTACGCTGCGAACTCGACGCCCACCACCTTGTGCAGCGCCGCGACGAGCGCGGCGTGGAGGATGACAAAGGTGTCGATGAGGTTCGAGCGCGACGTGATCGTGTCGAGGATGAGCTGCGTCACGGTCGCGGTGACGTGGGCGCGCGCGTGCGTGCGGTAGAGCGCTTCGTACTCGGAGACGATCGTGTCGATGTTGCCGTCGCCGAGTCGGTTGAGCAGCCCCTGTGCCTGGCGACGCAGTTTTTGCGCTGCGACCGGGTCCATCTCGGCGTCGGCGCCCTGCGATGCCTTGGTGGAGGAGGCCGAGGAGGCGGCTTCTTCCGCGGCCAGCTTGGCTCGCAGTGCAGGCGGGATGTACCTTGTGGAAGATGCGCTGGTCGCTGAAGGGGCGGCGGGAGCTGATGCAGAAGGCGATGCAGAAGAGTCGGCGGTGGCGGATGCGCCCGAGATCAAGGCGCGAGCCTCTTCTGCCTCTGAGTCGTCGTCTGCTTCGTCAGAAGACGGCTCGTCGTCCTGGTCCGCGTCTTCCTCGTCGGTGGTGGCCATGGCAGCATCCCAGTTGCTGAAGTCGTCCTCGTCATTCGAGTCAAAGTCGTACACGGCTTCGTCGTCGAGATCCTCCTTGTCGTCCTCGCTCTCGTCTGTCTCGTCCGTATCTTGCTCGTCTTCTTCTCGACTATCGCTCTCTTGCTCGCTCGCAGTCTCGAGCCCCGAGTCGTCGCTTTCGTCTTGCTCCTCATCATCGTCTTGGCTGTCGCTGTCGCTGTGGTCGTACATGCCGACCTGGAAGCGATCAAGATCGTCGAGGAAGTCGTCGAGGTCGTCGCGCACCACATCGTCGCCCTGGCGGCTCTTGCCAAGCTGGTACTCGAGCCACCTGATCTCGTCCTCTTCCTCCTTCTCCTGCTGGTTCATGCTGCGTCGGCTCTTCTTCCTTGCGCCCGCATCGTCGCTCGCCTTCGGCTTAGCCTTGGAAGACGACGGACCGGCTTCGGCGCGCGCCAGCATCTTCTCCAGCGCCGTCTGCTTGGATGCGCTAGCCTTGGTCTTGGCTGGCTGCACACGCTCCATCTCGCCGGTGAAGGGGTTGAGGCGCGTCTTGTGCGCCGTGCTGCTTTCGCTTCCGGATGGCTGAGAGGGGTTCTCGCTCTTGTGCTTCTTGATGACCTTGAGCGGCTGCTCCGGTTGCTTCTCGGGTTTGCGCTTGGGCGCCGGTGTGGACGACGAGGATGCCTCGTTAGCGCGGTTCTTGAGTGCATTCTGGGGTGCAGGTTGCTTGCCGTGGCGATGGTGTTGCTGTTGCTCCTGCGCTTCCTTCTCCTGATTACGCAGCGACTTGATGGGTCCACGGGGCGTACCCTTGGCCGCACCGTTCAGTGCGCTTTGGGGGCGACCGATCGCTTTGAGCTGTGGCTTTCCTCTAGAATGTGCTGATGACGCGTTGGAAGGACCGCCGCGGTGGTGGGGACGGAAGGAGCGCTTGGAGGGCGGTGGCAGGCCGAGCTCGTCGCGCAGTGCAGCGGGCAGCGCAGTGGTATGGCGCGACTTTGTGCGCGGATCGAACGGCATGGTCGTGATGCAGTGGTGGTGATGGCGAGCAGGGGGATGAGGGTGGGAAGAGGAAGAAGAAGAGGAAGAGGTGGACAGGAAAAAGTCACCGGCTTCGGCCGTGGAAATTTTGGCGCATTTCTCGGAAGTCGGAGCGCAACTTTGGCGCTCAGTCGAAGGATGGAATGCCCTGCATCCACTCTCCCTGTGCTCCCAACCACGATCCTCGTACTGACTTGAAGAACATCAACCATGGATGCGCTCGCAGGGTACGGCTCGGATGACAGCGACGTGGACCAGCGCGTCTCTCCGCGGCGCGCGCGTCCCGCGTCGACAACGCCGGCAGAGCCTCTGGAGTACGACCCGTCCGACGCCTTTGGTCTGAACTCGCTCCGGTCGAACGACACACCAACGCAAGACTCGCCTGCTCAGCATGCAGGCACCAACAGCCGTGATACGCGCTCGACGCAGAAGAAGAGCGCGTCCTCGAGCGCGGCAGGCACAGCATCTGCGGCGTCGACGTCCGCCTCGTCCTCGGTGGGCACGGTAGCGCTAGCTCCCGAGGTGATCGACAACTCTTCTGCTGCCGAGGCGCTGCTGCTGCGGCCGGACGACAGCAGGATGCACGTCAACATCCGGTACTCCGACATGACGGCGGCTCAGCTCGGGCCGGAGAACCCATTCGCGTCGCACGCACAGCGTCACCTCGGCGCACAGCAGAACACGCTGACTGGCCACGTCGAGACAGCCGCCGTGTCGGACTTTGACTTTCGGAACCAGCAGCGCACGTTCCACGTGTACGGCTACGCGCGCGACCCGTCGCTCCTCTCGTCGGGGGAGGTGCAGTACATCGGCGACCAGGCTGCTGCGGCGAGCATGGGCGGTGCATCGGCAGCAGACATTCGTGCGAGCCATGCCAGCTTTCGACCGGCCACCAAGTCGCTCCGGAAGAAGCGGGGGGTGGGTGCGGGCGATGCGAGCATTGTCGAGGGCGACGGAGCGTATGTTGGGCCATGGGCCAAGTGGCAGGGCGATGAGGATGTAGCTACGCAGCTGCTTGGTGGTGTTGGCGGTGTGGGGCCGAGCGAGGCGGAGGTGGCGGCGGCACAGGCCAAGGCGGACGAGCGCGCGAGGGACAAGGCGGCAGCAGCGAGCGCGAGGAAGCAGGCGGAGGAGGTGGAGACGGTGACCGAGACGAGCATCTTCCACGGCAAGAGCAGGTACGACTACCAGGGGCGCACGTACATGCACGTGCCCACGGACGTCGACGTGAACCTCTCGGGCGAGGCGGGCGAGCAGCAGTGCTACCTGCCCAAGACCTGCCTGCATACGTTCCGAGGGCACAGCAAGGGCGTATCGACGATCAAGCTTTTGCCGCGCACGGGGCATCTGTTGCTATCCGCCTCGCTGGATACGACGGTGAAGCTGTGGGATGTGTACCACGATCGTGCGTGTCTGCGCACCTTTATGGGGCACAGCAAGGCGGTTCGGGACATTGCCTTCTCCAACGACGGTAGGCGCTTTCTGTCCGCGGGCTACGATAGGCAGGTCAAGTTGTGGGATACCGAAACGGGCGCATGTCTGGACAGCTTTACCAACGGCAAGACGGCCTACTGCGTGACGTTCCATCCGGACCAAGACAAGCAGCACATCTTCCTGGCGGGCATGAGCGACAAGAAGGTGATCCAGTGGGATACCAACACGCACACGGTGACGCAGGAATACACGTCGCACCTAGGTCCCGTGAATACGGTGACGTTTGTCGATCAGAATCGGCGCTTCGTCACCACCTCGGACGACAAGACGATGCGCGGGTGGGACTACGACATCCCGGTGGTGATCAAGTACATTGCGGATCCGAGCATGCATTCCATGCCTGCGGTCAGCGTCTCACCCAGCCAAAAGTGGATGGCAGCACAGAGCATGGATAACCAGATCCTCACCTTTGCCACGGACGGGTTCAAGCAGAACCGCAAAAAGGTCTTCAAGGGCCACAATGTCGCCGGCTTTGCGTGTCAGGTGGGATTCAGCCCCGACGGAAAGTTCCTCAGCTCCGGCGATGCCGATGGCAACCTGTGCTTTTGGGACTGGAAGTCGACCAGGCTGCTCAAGAGGATCAGAAACGCGCACAAGGAGGCCGTCATTGCACATGCCTGGCTGCCGCACGAGTCGAGCAAGATCGTCACCGCCAGTTGGGACGGCGATATCAAGTTGTGGGACTGACCCCGCCCCGCACAGACATCCATTGCCACCATCCAATCTCTCGCGCATACTAGAATGTGTGTGTGTGTGTGAAGGAATGCGATTGAAACAAGAAACACATGGGCCGGAGCACAGAATGGGG